GAGTGGTCTGCTCTGTAGAGCCATGAACCCTTTCTAGGTTCTTCCATTCTCTGCCGTCGTGATAGTTCATATCGCCCGCTATAGGCAGACAGTCCTCTTCTGAAACTATTATAATTTGATGAGTCGTCGAGGCTCAACTAGAAACGACTCTTTTCGTACGCATGGCAACGAACTTACATGGCACCCATGGATATTATGGTCCAGTACCCCTCTCCCATCCTCACAGCCATGTCCTCTTCGTTATTGTAAAGCTTAATTCCTTCTCCGACTTCCCTGACCTTTGCTCATTTCGAACAAGTTTCCTAAAGGCGTGGGACATTTATGTTTCTGCTGTTTATTAGTTCAGCAACCTCTTGGGACTTTCCAGTAAGCCATCCCACTTTCAGAGTCCCAGCAAACTAGCTTGGTCGAGGTCATTCACCCTTCGTAACCGTGTCTACTACTCACAAAACTCAGGCGTTCTGTGCGCTACTTCTGGGTGACGTTCTAGCTTTTAGTTGCTAACTACTATCCTAACCTCTAACTAGTTTAGCTCATCACTTATGCATAACCATGTCCAATCTACGATACAACTCAAGAAGAACCAAAACATTCTCCATACTAAATGCCTCACAATGTACTTACACGATACCACTTCACCCAAAATTTCGCCACGTTTCATTTTTGGAAAGGAGTATCTAGAGCGAGGAACCTGAAACTGAAGGAGGCTTTGGTATACGTAGCCAATGCGGATATTTGAATTCAAAATTTCCCTCGAATTTAAACCATAGAAAATAGCGCATCAGAGATGTAATGGAAAATAAACAGCACAGCGTTTGATGAAGTCTGACGCCTACAATATCAATATAGAAACATTTCCAGTCTAGTTCCTCTTTTCTGAAAGTGTAATCCGTACTGGTTAGTGATCACTATTAACAGTATTCGTTAGCTTCTATACTGCACACTACTCATTACACTAACTTGACTTTTGCGGACTTACACGCAGAGCAACATGCAAACACACAAAATTAGGCTTTATATATAGTGAGAGTACGTCAGAGACTTTACACGTTGGCGAAGGGTTCCTGCGTCAGCTGGCCCATCAGCCTTATCCTCACGCTAGTACTAACACCGTTTCTGCATTTTTTGCAGCCCGCTTTTTGCCTCAGCAGAGATCGAACTCTCGGCCTTTTCTAGAGGCAGAGATGAGCCTACGCTCTTAATAACTCAGCTATCAATGCCTGAAAGAAGCTTGCATGTCGTTGCATTTCATGAGGCAGTTGTAAAGCTGAATCACCAACCTTGACAATCAGCGTCTATTAGCTTGCATACCTCCAGCAACTTGAAAACCTGAAATGATCCGGTCCACCAAATCTGCTTAGAAGAGCAGAACATGAAGGCCAAGCTCATAATTCAAATTGGGAAGTAAAGGAAATAGAAAATGAAGGAGATATTTGATGGATTGTAGGCGATGACCGATGGGCGGCGTGCTATGCTACTACAGCACTCTTTGCTGTATTCAAAAGACCTCCCGTGGGAAGCACTTCTAACCACAGAACCTTTAACAATTCAAATGTAATCACCTCGAAGTGATGCGTTTCAAATGACGTGCACGGCGTGACCTCGCTATGGTGGTAGAGTTCCAATTTCTCTTTTTAGCCCCATATCCCCAACTCTGTAAGCATATCCGCGAAGAGGATAGGAGGAGGTTTTTGTAGTCACGTTTCGCTTTAATCACGGTAACCTTCTGCTGGCTCCCTCAATCTTCCCCTACAAGGCGCGCAAGGGCTAGCATCTTCCAGAGTACAGCGTTGAGCGTTGCGGCGTTTGTTGACAACTCTAGTCTTCCATCGATACCGCACTTGTCATCGATGAATAATTACTTGATCGTGTTTTGATTGAAGTTTCTGCGAAGCTCTGTTGTAAAATAACATGATCTAACGGAAACACCGCCAGCGGCAACACGGGCGGTAGCGCGCCTTCGACGCTCCGCGCTCAACGCTTATCTTTCGCCTCAACGCTGTCTCTGAAGGCGCCCGCTCGCGAACCGGTGGGGCGAATACGGCAGGTCTTTCGGGAGCCCCACAGACAGGCGACAGATTTCAAGTTTTTGGACCCAGTTGCCGCTCTATACGTACTATCAGAAACAGAAACGAAAATCTAGTCCGGCACTCGGCTCTTACAGTAATTCGGCACGTGTTAATACGCAAATTTTTACCCGTCACATATACGACGCGTTGAAAGGTGGCGAAGTCCGTTCCTCCAAGAGGTGCCACTGGAAACTGCCCACTCTGTGGGCTGAGCTGACCACGGACATTCGAATGCAGGCGACAGGCCCTGTGACAGGCCGGCCTACGAACACCCCAGTCACATCAAAAATGTTAATGTCACTTGAAGAATCTCGTTGTAATGCTACGGCGTCCGCGGGAGCCGACGCGCACTTGCAAGGCCCGGTGAGTGTGAAAAGTATGCGAGGGTCTCCGGTGCAAGGACGGCATCGGGGGACAACTAGGCTAGTCCAAAAGTTCCGCAACGTATGGAAGACTCGCGTTGCGACGTTAAGTGTTGGCACACTAACGGGACGCTCGTATGAGTTAGCAGAAGCTCTAGAGCGTCGAAGAATTGATTTCTGTGCCGTGCAGGAAACGAGGTGGTCCTGCTGCAAGTCGAGGGACATTGGCCACGGCTTCAAAGCCGTTCTCTGTGGTGGACCCAAAACCACCAATGGAGTTGGCATAATTGTCTCTGAAAGGTTCCGTGATTCGATAGTGGGCGTGGAGCGCTTCGATGATCGCTTAATGAAGATCATTGTGGTCATCGAA